CCTGATGCTTCGGCTAGAACATTTTCTTGCGTAATTCGTACACCCAAGGGCAGAAGGATTTAATCGCCGTCAGGTCCGAAGTCCATACGCCGCCTCAGCTCTGCGGATGTCTCGGGGGTATGGCAAATTAGAATCGTATTTTTTAAATTTCTTTTGGTGGGTTCGAAGCCCATCTTATCCACATAACATTTTTAAAAAAATCTGTTGTTATTAGATTGAAATCTTCAACAATAAGGCAATCGTTTTAGTAAAAAAAAATTAAAAAAAAGAAAGAAAAATCATTCCTAGTCGGTTGCCGTATAAGCCTGTATAAATAAGTTCGACCAGTCATACAAGCAATATCTATCCGCGAAAAGTAATTAAAGCTATGTTTTCCTATCTTTCCTAGCAAAGTTTGCTGACAACAACATATACTGCACTTGGATCATATGCCCACAAAGGACTAGTAGATGGTGCAGTGAAGACTTCTGGGTACTATTGCACAATTTCTGCATTCTCTGACAAAGAAAATAAACAGCCATCTCAGTAAATAATAAGATAACAAAGGATGGTAAAAAGATAAGAAAATTTATTGGTGATTCTGACTGAGAACATTTGGATATTTGATCTTGTTGCGTCAAATATGGCGCAAGATCAAATTCACAAGTAGTGTGACATGCATAACGCAAAACTATTTATTTTATAGCCTACAAAAGGGCAGAAACTGCAATTATTTTAATGTTATGTAGACAACACCTTAAGGGAGAAGATCGCCTTACACGAGTTCAACGAAATCATTCTTTTCTGTGAAACATTCCATTATCTTTTGGCGAACATTGCAAACTTCTACTTCAGCTGTACTAGGCCTCTGTACATGATACAGGCAACCCAGTGAACGCCTATAGGGCGTCTTGWTTCTATGTGTTATTTCCTTATTTTTTCCCACGGAGATTTTTTGGCCTTCCTGAAACGCCTCTATATTTAGGTTTTCAAGCCAAAAATTTCATTGTACATCCCTCTAGGATGGTTCTGGGGAATAATCCAACTTTTTCTTTTTTTCTTCTTGGGAATTTTTTGACATAAAAAATCTCGCCGCACTTTCCTTTAGGATGGTTTGCTACAGACGAATACTATTGAATTGATCCTCGAGGAACCCCAGATTTTACAGGGACAAAATCAGACTTACATTGTTTATTACRATCGTTTGTCTTCTTCCAGTAAATAGGATCTGAACCAAGACAAATACTTAGACAATGCTACATATTTTACTCACTAAAAGAAACGTAAAAATTAAATAAAAACTAGGTTGGAGAAGTTACCTACTACAAGTGGCTAACCCGAGTATCAGGCCTACAGGGTGCCTTGGAAGGGGAGGGGGAAAGGGTGGGGGARGAGGGGAACAGGTTTACAAGTGGCTTTTAGTTTTTTCCTTGAGTGGTCAACGAGGGACTCGTTGGGAACTGGAGTAACAAGACCTCTGAAACCCAAGGTAACATACAGACTAATTATTCAGCTATATACTTTGTTTTGTGCGGTTTAGTAAGTGTCTGAAGAAGTTCGTCACCAACGTTCGACGTAAATCTCTGCGCAATGGACTCGTGTCCAGAAGACATGGCTAAATCATAAGGCGTCTGTCCTGAATCATTCTTAACGTTAGCTTTAGCTCCCAGACCCAGAAGGGCGTCAACATACTTGGCACCCCCTCCCCCTAGGGAAACAGCCTYGTGTAAGGCTGTGTTGCCTTTACTTTGTGTTTTAGCGTTAACATTCGCACCAGCATTAACTAGAGTCGTAATGCAATCTAAATGTTTATTGATGGTTGCCAGGACAACAAGTGGGACGCCATCGGTAGATYCGCAGTCAGGATTGCCGCCAGCATCCAAAAGTCGTTCGATTTCATCTTCCCTTCCTTGTCCTTTAGGCCCAACTTCTTTAACAAGCAAGCGATCTTCCTCCTTTAGCTTGGACGCTTTTCCATTTTCCTTCACGTTTGTCTTCTTCTTAGATTTCTTTGCTTTCAATTTCTTCTGTGTATTTTGGAGACTACTTTGACTGCCACTCAAATCTTCTCTACTAGACGCGGTAGTGATATTGAATGCTTTCAGTCCGTCAGCAAGTGCCTTTGACTTCTCTTTCCAAGATTCTTTGCTCTCCCTACGTGCAAATGTGACAGTCAATGTGAATTCTTCCCCAACCAAGTCCTCATGAACAGCTGCAGTGATGATCTTCCCAAGCCGTGGTTCCCCAATAAGACTGCGGAATTCTGGGTTGTTCTGAGAATGTGCTTTGAGGTGAGCGCATATGTGATCCATCTGTTGTCGCCAGTACCCTCGCCCCGGGCTAACCCCGGCGAGAGCAAGCCGCCTATCCCTGGTTCCTTCCATTCTTGCTCTCTCGTTCAACTCGTATTCGATCTGTGAATTAATGGACTGGGAGGATGGGTAGAATAGTCCAACAGTGGAAGTTGCTGAAGGGAAAATAAGAAGGAAATGATGAATTAGTACTGATCTGATGGATGGAAGCCTAGCTAGAGAAAACGTGCTAAATCAGGAGTTGTAGAAAATGCAGAAAAAAGGAACATTATAAAGAAAAAACCTATAAATTTCATTGATACTCAAAAACAACCTATGGGCTGATCAAATTGAATCAGATTGAATTGAAATTTGTTAGGTTTTGGAGAAAAATCTATTTTTTAGCGAAAGCATGTCTGTTTTCTAAGGCAAGAAACAGAGGAAAACCAGAGAAAAACCCTTGAATCAAGGGAGAGACCTAACAAACTCTACCAACATGTGATGCCTAGTCAATGGAGCCCATGACGCCAGTACTAAGAGGCAAGTGCATTACTGCTACATCACCCTTGAGGTTTCGAGGCATCATTTAATATGGTTGTGAATGTTGAGGGGGTATAACACCCACAACTATTTACAATGGATTCCAATTTATCAGTTTTATCAACCAGCTACAGAGGTATTGTTACCCTTATCAGCCTTGTCAGCATAGTAATTAGATGTAGTAACAGGTAACCATGATGCACCACCACCGCRGCCAGCCATGTTCTGTATATTGTCCTTTTCCACTAGCATTCCTATCAAACTGGACTTCACTTTGTGGGTGACTCTTGGAGGGGGTTCTATGGAACAGCCACAGGAATGACAAAACCTGACGAAAATCATAAACGGCTCATATTAGTATTCATCCATCATATTCAACCATCCCTCCATCCCTCCCTCCCTCCCTCCCTCCCTCCCTCCATTAAATTGATGTTCTGCACAACACAGACAAGGCAGTCTTTTGGCACCAGTAATGCATCAATCTACTATTTAAATAAAAATTCCTGCATTTTTTTGGGGGGAGGGATCGTGGAGGTTAGTGAGGATTGACCCCACCCACTAGCTACACCTCTGATGTGACTGAGCAGAGGAAATTTAATGTGTGCAAAACCCTTATACACAAAAATATTACATAGCATGTAAAATTTACCTGGTAAGTCTTAAAGGTAAGGAATATGGTTATGAAGGGACGAGGGGAGGGGTTGGCAGGGGGCAAAGCATWAACTACTCTCGTGAAGACTTACCTAGAATGTGGGCTATTAGAGGCCTCACATTTAGAACAAGTAATAGGTGTCTGGTACAGGCTTGGTCTCTCTCCACACCAATCACAGTAACGAGCATCACTGCTATTGATCCTTGAACACTTTGAACAAGTCATATAACTCCCCATATCGCCTTTAGGTACAGGAGGTGCACTATTTTCTGTATAAATCTGCTTTGCATCTGTCGGCAGTCGTGCTTCACAAGTGACACACACTTTCAGGTCTGGAGGGTTAGCAGTGCCGCATGTTGCACACACAGTCTTTGCAAGAAACTTTTTGGTAGCTTGTGGCTGCCATTGTGGAGGCATYGGCGACTCACACACAATGCATATCTCYGTATTCGCTGGTACCATTGAGTGACAGGAAATGCATGTGACCAGCTTACCCATTTCTGGAGGGGGTAGTCTGCTCTGAGGCAAGGGAGGTAAGGGTGATCCACAKTCTGCACAAAACCGAGCAAATGGGTCAGAAGGTCTTGACGCAAAACAAAAAATACATTTGAGGTAATCTGTATCTTTTYGTAGCTTATTTGACTGTGTCTTGGTCTCTGGGCCTTTTCTCTCTCTGTACTCATCGTTCATCCCATTAAAGGACTGAAAGTCAGATGTGGCTATAGTRGCTTTATCAGATCCAAATCTCTTATTCATGAATCGTGGCTCTGAATATGGTTTTCTATAATTAGGCCCTTCCATGTAAGGATTCATCGATGTTGGTGTTGATGTTTTTGGTTGATTTGTGGAATCACCACTCCATCTTCCTTTAGAAACTGGCCTATTAGAAACGGATAATTCATTTTGATGATGACTATTGTCATTATCTTGACGATATCCAGACATTCCTCTTGACTTCTGTCGCGCATTCCCATCCGATGATGCAGTCCTCTGACTAGCGTCAAGATCATTGTCTGCCTTTTCAACCATAAACGCCTTGGTAACTATAGAACTCTCTCTTGTCCCATCTAGCGACGTAGCCATAGCTTTAACCACCCTTTTACCAGGTCCTAGCACGAATGGTTTATTGTATCTGTAAGTACATTTTATTCCTATCTGTTTGAATGGCTCGGGTTTCATGCCGTTTATAGTGTAGTAAATAATCGTATCTTCGGTTTCCGTGCGAAGCTCAATTGGCGTRTCTGCGGTAATAATGTTTTTCCTTCCGACCTCTGGCAGCCTTAAAGGCATGATACTTGGAACTTTTATCATTCCCGCCGTCATCTTSAAGCTTTAAGTCTGGTACAACAAAAGCCTTACTTTTTAAACTACGTCCAAACTGCAGAAGTCAAGAGGCAAGTTCGACGAGTGTAAACAGTAGCATCAATAAATAGACTACCAATTCATCTGTTATTACACCAAAGTTTCTCAACTCTATCAAAAAATGAACGATGTACATGTGATAACAACCAAAACAAGGGCAAAATAAGGGAAAAGAGATATTTTCAAAATATTAAGCGACTTCTTGACAACAACCGTTCGCTTTGAAAACAGTCCGCCATTTTTGACATCCCACAATGCAGGTCGATTTAAACTTTCAGCACGTAACCCCAGTGGAGAGGGGGTGGGGTATTTTTCTTCATCGACTTAAAAATAAAATGTTAACTGTCTTCCTCAACATTTTCGTTAAGGATCGTGAAAAAGAAAGCCCTGCCCTTTTAAAAACATGATCATTGACATGTTATCTGCTTTCATGTCAAAGAATTAAGCAATAGGAAACAGTAATTTTGAAAAATCGTTTCCGGATGATATCCGGAGATGGTCGTAAATCAATCGGGCATCATCGGAAATCGAAGATAAAACGATATTGTGGCTCAAAAATTCGAACCGAATCGAGTTGAAGTAGAAGAGATGACAAGTCGAGGAGGAGGAGGCCGTACAAAATATGGATAACATTGTCAAACTAGAACGAAGAGCCCTTGGTGGCTTTGGATTTAGTGTGATAGGAGGTGTAGATACTCATCTTCCTCCCATGGTTTGTGCTATAGTTCAGAATGGATCGGCGCATCTTAGTGGAAAGGTGAGTAGGACCGGCTGGTTGAGCTCTGCACCTCAAGTTCTAAGCTGCTTTATTTAATATCCTCTACTAAAAATCTAAAACCGGGAAAATCGTGATTCTTGCTGAATTAGATATTATATATTTATGCTAGCTGGACTGGACTTGTGAAGTTTGAGTTGCAAAGCTGACACGTTGTCAAACTGATTGCAACGACAGTCGTTCTTGTAGACATTTTTCAGTCAACTTCCATCATAATAAGTCTTACTTGATTTTAATGGGCGATCCATCGTCCAACCTTTAGTTTTTTTGTATGATACTTAGTGAATCTCTTCTACATATTCCTATAAATGTATTGGATTGGTGTCAATAATTCTATTAGAATCCTCTAGATTTGGATTATTAATAAGATATTGATTGTAAGGTTTTAGCTTTATAAACTTCAGCTCTTTTCAGCTGAAAAACAAAAATTTATTTTCCTCTCAGAACGATGATATTTTCATCTTTATGCTTAGATTTATGGATGGATTTCTTTATGTTTGTATGCTTGTGTAACTGTTAATGATAATACATGTATATTTTGTATTCAAATAAAATAATGTTTGGATTGTGTTAATTCTAGGGTGTTTGTGTTTTGGGATTTCAAGCAAGGAAACTTTCTTATTTGCATGATCAAAATATACTGATCAACAAAAAGCCTAGGTGTTAAGGTGTTAAGTGTCAAGGTTTTCTCGCATTTCATTGCTATTAATAATCCAACAATAACTTAAGAAATATCAATGATACGTTGTGGTTGTTGTTGATTATCATGAAATCCATCATCTATTATAAATAATGTATATGCAACCTGTCTATCCATTCAAAAAATTTTGGTTAAGGATTTGATTAAGGCATGCCATAAGTGTGTGAGGTCAAACTTAAATACATCATTTTGGGCAGAAAAAATTCAAGTATGTGAAAGAAAATCAAATATGCCCAGGATAGATTGTCAATCAAATTATATATTTATTATTTGTTAAAATAGATTATTGTGCCAAGTACAAAGTATGTTGGATTCATTTGCATAAAGATAAAGAATCCAATTATTTTTCAGATTACTCTTCGTTTCTTTAAAATAAACATTGAAAATTCCTTTCAATTGTCCTTAAGGGAAGTCTAAACAATTTGATAAAAGGAAAATTGTTTTTCAGGTCCTAGGTTTGAGAAATTTATGTTGCTATGCTCACAGTTGCTAGCATTTTCTAATTATTGTTCACCTTTAGAATTCAATACAGCCCTTGAGTTTAAAATTAAAATAACTTGGCAAAATGTAACTTAAGCTATACTGGGTATTATTCACCTCTTTATCAACAGTAGGATCTTATCCCTCCATCACTTTAGGTTAAGATCAAAGATTGGAGTAGATCAATACTAACTTTAGTTGATCCCTGTGCTATTTATCTTAATGGAAAAATGCAATTTCAAAGAAAAAAAGTGAATCATTTCAAGGTATTCCTTTCATTATATCTGGATATGATTTTYGAGTTCTCACGAGTATATATAATATATATCAGTTGTTCCAAAGTTGAAATAAGTGTTTCTGATTATGCTAAGAAGAATTGACCTTTCAAGAGGATTTTTATTTTAACAATGCATTTTGAACTTCCATATACTACCAAGTTAATGTATTGCATTGTTAGAATTATCATATTAACTATGGATTTATGTAGTAAGGATTGCTATTGCCGGTACTGTAATTCGAAAGGTGTTGTTACATCTTAATAGTTTTAATTTTTGCCATCCAATGTTACTGGATGGTATTTACACACTCTCTCATCATCCCACCCCATCATCAATTCATGGCTCCAACTCCCCTTAAATAGTTATTACTACAGCTATGTCCCACAATCTCTTCAGATTAGGTAGAATATCTCACAATTCAAAACCCTGTTCATGAAATTTGATTATAATTTTTTTCAATTATTGCTCACTGTCGTGTGAAAATGAAATAAAATAAAATTTGCTCCTAATCCTTGTACATGTAGTACTCTTTCAAACAGATTTACTGTGTTGTTGTTTGTGGGACAAGATTGTAATTCAATTGGGAAAACTGCTGCAACGGTCATTGGTTTGCTTCTGTCTGAGTGGTAACCATGAAATATCATCATCTTGACAACCATTATCATCAAAAGCTTGGAGAAATAAAATTTCTAATAATAAATAATAAATAATAATAAATAGATAAAATTTTAGTATGTTGAAGAGACTTTTTTTTGAAAGCTCTTGCCTTATTAAGATAATTCCTTAATCAAAAACAGTCTGTTTTACATGATTTTATTACAGCTACCATTGCTATCATTAGTATGTCATTCTTTTATTCTTTATTACCATGGTGATCAATCTTTGTCATAGTCATTCAAATTAAAGTACTCAGAACTTACTCAATGTTCAGGTTTTCTGGAAAATTCTTTACAAAACATTTTACAACAGCTGTCACCTGTGGGATAGTAATGTACCCTCGTTGTTAATAGAAGCATGTTATCAGACAATACAACCAATTTATTAGAGGGATGGGAGATATTGATTTGGTGGGCTCTTTGTTGGGTCAATCAATTGTAATAAATAAATTATTGTTGCTGTTTCTTAGATATGTGCTGGTGATGTTATACTAGAAGTGAATGGGAGACCCATAACAGGACTCACAACAGAAGAAGGTATACAAAGATCTGATTCAATGGTTTATTTATTAACTAGAAAATGAAATGTTTACAGAAACTGGGAAATGTACAAAAAAGAAATTTAATTTTATTGAACCTTGAAACAACCTCTGGACTAATCTAATTCTGGGTTGATTTAAGTCAAGGCATGGATCAATCTCCGATAGAACCTTGAAAAAACCTCTGTGTTAATCTCAGTCAGGGCATGGCTAACTCACAGATCGAACTCTGAAACAACTTCTGGGCTGATCTAAGTCAGGGCATGGCTAACTCACAGATCAAACCCTGAAACAACCTCTGGGCTAATCTAAGTCAGGGCACGGCTAACTCACAGATCAAACCCTGAAACAACCTCTGGGCTAATCTAAGTCAGGGCATGGCTAACTCACAGATCAAAGCCTGAAACAACCACTGGGCTGAACTAAATTCAGGGCAGGGCTAATTCACATATCAAACCCTGAAACAAGCTTTTGGATGATTGAAGTCATGGCACAGCTTACTCACAGATTGCTCCCTGACAATATGAAATTTCATACAAATATATATATTTAGATAAAATATTGATATTTATTTAATAATTTSTCTGTTACAGTTGTAGAATGTATAAGAGACTCCCCTGATGAACTAACACTGCGGCTCATGAAAGGTACTGAATTTATTTTTCTAACCCCCCATATCGCATGCTCCTATTTTCTCCCACATATCAGGAACATCACCACTAGTAGAAGACCTTTGAAAATCCCTGGTATGGAGACTAGAAGGGAATTGGTCTTTTTATTGAGTTCTATTGCAACCTAAAACAACCTCTGAGTTGATGAAGGGATAAAACTAATGGTGGCTCAATGTGACCAGTCATTGTGACCTGTTCAAGGAACTGCATGGTCTAACAGGCACAAGTTCTAATTCTGTTGTACATCATACACTGAACAGCCCTTTCTTTAGCCATGTGATGTAAGTCAGGGTAGGCTAAGTCACAGAATTATTGGAAATTGAGGGGAGTAGGGTTTAAAAAAATGACCCAAAACCCCTGCGGTCAGGTTAAATGTCTGATGATGACTTTGATCGAAAACATTTAACTTTATATTTTTTCTCTAAAATCCTTAGCCTTTTTTATAATAAAGCAAATATTTTAGCATGTTATATATTTTTCAGGAATAAAAAATACATAATTTTAAAAATTTAAGGTATTTTGTTTATCAAAGTAATTTCTTTGATAGAACATGTATGTATACTATCTGCTTTTGTCTGTCATTATAAATTACATTAAAATGACAGATTTTTACTAAAAGTTACTAAAAGTTACTAAAAGTTAAAAGTTAAAATTAAACCTTTAGTCATTTGATGCATCAGATTCATCAATACAGGTTCATTCAGCTTTATTTATAATTAACCATTGAACAGATATTTTTGACAGATAATATTGGGTTAGTATATTGGACAGGAGAAAAGATAATCTCAATTTTTACCTAACAAAATTACAATTTTTTAAACCTTATGTCTATCATCCAAAGACCTAAATTATCCAAGTAACATACTAGACAAATATTTTTGACAGATAAGAGTTATCTTCATATTGTGAACACAAACCACAGAAGGCCAATTTTGAATAATTTGTACTTCTAAATAAGATCTTTGAAATCTCAGATTTTTTATAGATGTCTGTTGGTTTAAAGGAACTCATCCTAGATCTATGTGTTGTGACAAATATAATACTGATTATAATGAAGTAATCAATGGTACTGACACGTAAAAAGCTAATTTAAATAATAGATTGTGTGACACCAGCTTGTGAGTCTTGGTTATTTGCATGACAATATATTAAGTCTCCTGTAGACTACGTACAGTAGTTTACCATAAATAGAATTCTCTTAATTAAGCAATTTTTGTAAAGTGGGTCCAAGTGCTTGGATATGGATAGGATAAAAACTTTAGAAGAAGCTACAGATTTTGCTAGAGTATAAACCAGAACATCTTCCACCTAGAAGATCTAAACATGCATTGCTTTTGGTTTTAGTTTGGTAAGATATTGGAATATTCACACGAACCAACTCATAACATATTCTTCTGTTCATCATTTTGACCTTGTTTCTGTTTTATAACTTCCTATTCCAATAATAATATTATTGAAAAGCAAATTTCTAGCAAATTGTTTACCAGATCTTACATTATTACTGTAACCTTCAACAAGTATATTACAGTTATATTTATACTGTACTTCTACAAAATAACTATTTAAAATCTTATTTAGTGAATTTCTGCATCTTTAGTAATCAAAAATCGTTTCTAAAGTTATAAATTTAGCCTTGTAGAATGACTTATTATCCTTTAAAGATGCTTCTTTATTAAATATTTGATAACATAAGTTTTTGAATTTGAATTTTATTTCACTGTACTCTTATTTGTACATTTTAGTTCAGCCACAATTAATTTAAACCAAGCAGAAACTTGCCAGGATTAAAATTAATGTTGTTTCCCTCTGCCTTTTCTGAATCGATAAATTTCTAACCTGGAAGAAATAAAAGTAAAATTTAACCTAGTTTAAAGTTTGAATTCCCAAGATGATTTTTTTAGTTTTAAAATTATGTTTAAATATTATACCAAAAGAATGATAATTTTGATAAAAATAATGACTTTTTAACTAGATGTTTCTGGTATTTTGGAGATATGATTTTGTGATTATAATTGGCTCACCAAATGCTTCGGACAAATTAGTGTTTATCTCTTTATGCTCTAATGATATTAATTTTCTTGCTTTTCCACGGTACTTTCAATTGGTTTTTATCTTTCTTGTATCATGTTTTAAACCCTTTTAAAGTCTTTGTCTGATGTTAAGAATATTTCTTATTATCTTTATAAGACTTGAATTCTGTCCAAATTTATTCTTTTTTTGGCTCAAATGCAATAATTATTTTAATCCACTCTGCTAAGCTAATAGGAAATGCATGAGTTTTCAATGGTGGCAATAATATCTCTTTCCTCTCTGCCCCCCAAAGGCCACCCATCTTCACATTTCCTGTTGTTTTAGCTTATATCTTTTTCCACAGCTGTTGCAGTTTCATATTAATATTTCTCCTTTAACTCAGTGTCTTTTCAAGATTTTTACTTCCAGCAATCAAATTTATCCTAGATTAATTTATATCTACGAAAAAAATATTTGTCTTTTGATTAAATCTTAAAAAGCTATTGCGTGACCTCTAATATGTGATGTTGAAAGAAAAAGTCCAGACTAAAGTTAAAAATTAACAGGGCCGGAAGAAGGATTTTGAAAGCCTTAGAGTGTGTATAGGATATTTCAGCAGTGTAATATGCCATTTTGTCTATATGGTACAAGGATTATGTCAACATAAAGCCAAGGTAATCCAGCAAAAATCTTTGATTCAACCACCTTTGATTCATTCAAAGTTGTTGTAAATCTTTGTGATTCGATTCTTGATTTTAGAACATTTTGTTCTATATCTTTAAGTGAGATATTGAGAAGACATTCTGTTGTGATTAAAGGTCCATCTTATCAATGATCATAACTTAAATCATACAGTAAGTGAAATTGCTCTTCTTTCTACACTTTATTACCCAGACATTACAGACTCATGTACAGTTTCAGGAGTTAATTGCTAAATCATAGTAAATCATCTTCATAACAGTGTTGAGATTCAAACTTGCATATGAATTCATTTTTTATTTTTATCGTAACAATAACATATGTAGATTTCTAAGTTTGCTTTTTGATGCTTTCTGCTGGAGGTGACAACATGTAATTTCAAGGTTTTATCTTTACTCCATGGAAAATTTTGTAAATAAATTCAATAAAGTAAATTTAAAAAAAGCAATTATTTTTCTTGGAAATTTAGAATTCCAGGATATTTAATGTGTATTTGGGTTGCCTTAGCTAGTATTTTGTTCGATTTAACCTTGGAAGTTGACAGAATATTTTGTTAAAATATGCAGAAATTATTAACCAACAGAATATGCCTCAACAAATACTGTCAAAGTATCACCTTTGTAATCATTGTCGGTTTTACAGTATATTTTGACTTGCTGCTTTTTCTATCTTAACCTTGAACTACTAGTTGTATTATTAATTGTCAAGCAGTGTGACCTCTGTGTTTATATTAAAATGGTATTGGATTTATATTATTTACTAAAAACACTTTAATCTTAAATTATGTTCTTTCTAATATTTAATCCTAGGAGATATTGATAATAGGGCTAACTTCAGTATCTTATTTTGCACTCAATGGTGCAAATAAATTAGTGTTTTTTTCCCAGATATTTGCAGACTTCATGCATTTTAGTAGTAAAATGTGCTAATGAGTTCTTGTTTCCTAATTCATAGTTTTCCCTACTTCTAAATGAAATTTCATAAGACGTTAGCATTAGAGATTACTATCATTATAATTAAAGCCAATATAATCATCGTCATCATCAACGTCATCATTATCAACGTCATCATCTTTAATCATCACCATCACCATTATCATTAACACCATCTTTATCAACACCATCATAATATCATCATCATTCTGATTCCGTATCTATGAAGGTGACATTAATCACAAACCTTTCAACTTTCTTTCCTTTTTCAGACAGTGGAGCCAAAGAGCGTGCAAAGCCATTCTTAAGGAAGTTTGCAGTTGCTGATCCAAAAATCCCATTGTACCAAGCAAAGCTACACCGTACTGCCTCAGCTCCTCACACATGCATCACTGAAAATCTTGTTAAAAGTAAATACAAAAACAAGTCTGATTCGTCTCCCATTATGAGGAGAAATACCGGGATAGAAACAAGAAAAGAGGACTTAAAAGTGAAGAAAAACTTACTTGCCATAGATGAAAACCCTGATGGAACAAAGTATCATAGACTTATCACTTATTTTCCTGTTGACGGTAACCAACCTCAGACAATGGAAGATTTTTCTGCATTGAAGCACAAAGAGATAAAGCATAAACGTTTTTCAGGGGAAGATGAATATCTTTCTGGTGAGATTTCTACCAGTGCGAGCTCTTTACCAAAAAATTGTCCCTCTTGTGGTGGAGGAATGCTTGTATCTAGCACCCCTGGGTTGCATGAAGGCAATTCTAGACAGAAGCCCGGCAGCCCGACTAAACTACGCTGCAGAAAATGTGGAAAAAGCTTGCATGTAACACTTAGTAATAGTAGTCTACCAGAAAAATCTGGACCATCAAGTAGAACATTTGAATCTTCGCCGATAAAACCATCTAGTTCACTACCTTCTAATGCTACTTTAGGAATCCAAAGAAAGGGTGTTGATCAATTGGATAATAGTGAGGATACAAGAACTAGAATTGAACAAAGTGAAGAAAATGAACTAAAAATTGATAACGGAAGTGTTGGGCAGCCTAGTAAGGGTTTAACAGGGTCATCATCAGAAGCTTCAGTGGCTAGTGAGTCACAGTTACAAGTGGAAAGAGAGAAGGCTGGTGAAATGGCAATCAAATTGTATCGACTGGAAGGGTTTACAAAGGATGAAGTTGCTGCGGAGCTCAGTAAAAAGTGAGTGCACCAAGTATTTGTTGTGAAGTATGAGTATCTGGGTGAGGATAGTCTTGAGAAAGGCGGTTGTTGGTGGTGACTGTTGTTTCAACATTAATTATACTTGTAAGCTTATTCTTTACATTCATGATAGGATTTCAAATGTAAGGAAAAGTAAAAAATATGTTTAATATTAATTTTATATTTTCACAGTACAAGATTTGGAAAAACTGTTGCCCAAGAGTACCTGAAGTTGTTTGACTTTACTGACATGACCTTAACAGAAGCTCTTAGGAAGTTCTTTAAGTATGTCCTACTGATTGGTGAGACACAGGAAAGAGAGAGAATCCTTATCCCATTCTCTGAACGATATTATGAATGCAATAAACCTGAGTATGGCTCTTCAGGTAAGAATGATTAATTTTAACATTAAACTACAACACACTAAATATTCATTTTAGAGCTTATTATTATAGGGAGAATTAGGGAGAGAGAGTAGTGTATTTTTCAGAAAAAACTGACCCCTCGATGGGTGGATCTAGATCTAGAGAAGGGCTACCAGGGGGTGAACATGGTGCACTCGGGACCATATCCACCCCTGCAACAGGGCCAGTTCATCATTTTTAACTTGTGAATTTTGTGTTCATGCTATCAGATGCAGTCCATACTCTGATATGTGCTATTCTTCTTCTAAACACTGATCTACATGGTGAGGTAAGATAGTCATTTGACTGTATTTAAGATATTTGACTGTGGTTGATCAGGGAAGTAAGGGAAAGGTACAATGAAAGATGGAAGGAGCTTTAAAATTCCCACACAATATATATTACCCTGAATGCATTTTAATTGTCTATGATACAAATAATAGTTCAACTGCCTTCATATTATCTGCTTTGAATCTGCTTGGAATTAAATTAAATACATTGATAGTTTAAAGTATTATCCACTCCTAATTGAGACTATTAGTGGTAAAATTAGATATAATTTAAAGAAGCCTGTTGCCATGGCATCAAATGTTATGTCCTTCAAATAACCTAGCAACAATTTATATTTATTTATACAATTTATTTCTTTGTCAGAATATCAGTAAAAAAATGGCTTTAACATCATTTTTGGAAAACATGACTGGTCTTTGTGATGGGGGAGACTTCCCTAAAGAATTACTTAAGGTATGTTAAATAGTTATTGTACTCTTTACAGTCAATTGTTAATGAGAGTGGAGAGGTTTGAAGCACTCTCATGACCTCTTTCCAATCTTAATTTTTGTTTATACAAAGAATCAAAATATGGTGACCAATATTAATAACAATGTCTTGTTCTGGACTGACTAGCGACTGACTAGCCTCTCATACATGTTAAAATGCTGTTATGTTTCCACGTGATGACAAGGCTAGTCAGTCGCTAGTCGGTGCAGAACAAAAGCTATTCAAATTGTTAACCATATTTTGATTTTGTGTATAGAGCATAGCTCAATGAATGTTAACAGCATTGTTTTATGTTATTTTTTTATAGTCAATTTACCAAGAAATCAAAGAATCACCATTTGAGTGGAGTGGAGAGTAAGTTTGCCTCTAAACTGCTGAAATTTCCTTATTAATGTCTTACTGTTTCTGTAACTTCCCTTGAAGAATACCACCACGGTCAGCACCTGGAACACCAAAACCGTCCAGAAATGTGAATGGAATAAGGGTGAGTTATGAGAATGAAAGTGAAAGATCCTGATTCCTAAATTAATACCAGCAGCTACTTGATAAATCTTTTTTATCTTCCAGGCATCGCCAGGAAATCCATTTTTAGAGGTAAGAAGCATAATAATATTAAATATTTACGATCTTAAATTTTATGATGATGATGAGGATGAGGGCAATGCTCAGTGTTCATCTAGTGTCATCATCACCATCATTTTCACTTTCATCATAATCGCTATCATCATCCTCACAAGCCATCACCATCATCATCACCATCATTAGCATCAACATCATCATCACCATCAATCATCATCACCACCATCGCCATCACTCAACATCATCTTCATCAATCATCACCATCACTCAACATCATCACCACCATCACCATCACTCAACATCATCATCATCATCACCACCATCATCATCACTAAGATTCTTGCTTAATGAATGAATTATGTTCTGTGTGTAGATTTTAACTAATTCACTGTTTACATGTATGTGGTTAGATTCAGTGCGATGAAAATGACAAGGTGTACAGGGAAGGACTGGTGTACAGGAAAGTGACAATGGAGTCTGAAGGAAAGAAAAGTGAGTAGAGAACGGCATCCAAGATGCATTTATTACCATTTATCAAATTATGGATATACGTCCTGTCATGTCATCACCAACATAATCTCTGAAACAGCCTTGTACATCAAATGTTTTTTTACCATAATCTTTATCATCAGGCATCATAACATCATCATCCTCATCATAAACATCATTTATCATCATTTTTAACATCATCATCAGTCATCAACACATTTTTAATATCAGCCAATGTCATTACCATCCTTCAATACTATTAATGATATGTTGCTACATGTAAATAGTATTATTTCTTACCAGCTTCAGCATGGAAAAGAAAATGGATGCCATTCTATGCAACACTCAAAGGTCTAATATTATTTTTACACAAGGTAAAGATTCAAATGAATTATCTTCCAAATGTGTTAAGGAAAATATTGAATCTCACTGCATCATTGTCTTGGTTTTTATAGTCTGATGAAATCAGTCATCTTGAAAACACAAGGAACTGCTTGGGGATCCATCATTGTTTTGCAAGTCGTGCCATGGATTACACAAAGAAACAGTTTGTGTTTCGTCTCGTCACTGCTGACTGGAGAGAATTCCTCTTCCAAGCTAAGTCAGTAATATTCATATTATTGAATTTATCTGCACAAAAACAAATTATTCATAATGGGTTGGTCCATGAGGCAATAGACCTATCCCGAATTCGCTTGACTGGTCACGAAACAATGGTTTCAAGTCGAGGTTGAACTTGATGAATAAAAGAATTGTTTCGTGGTCAGTCAAGCAAATTCAGGATAGGTCTATTGAGGCAGTGTAGCGAAGATTGCACAAATTTGATCTATTGGTATGAATGTGCCAACCAAAGATCTATTGGCTACTGTAACAAAGAGATCTTTTGTTTTAATGATTGGCAAATTTGAATGAGAAAAGATTCCTGACGTTAATGTTTGTAAACAGTGAATATCGCTATAGGGACAGGGGCATATTGAGGGGTTGGCAAAAGTGGCCCCTCACAAGATTGTATCTTGGCACCAAAATTGCATGAATTTATGAGGGATTCCTGTGCATTTTTCAGTTAAACGGTACTTTGCCCCCCCCCCCCTCCCCAATGCCCCATGATCCTGACCTCTAGCTACGCCCCCAACAGGGATACTTTGTACAAGGACTTGATTGGGACAGTACGAGGACAGCACAAAGACCCTTTAGGGACAGTACAGGGACATGCAGCCATATGAATGAAAAGTTTGAATTATTAATAATAATTATTAATAATAATATTTGTTACAGAAATCATAATGACATGGCAGGATGGATCGATATGCTTAATTTGGTTGCCGCTACCTTTTCATCACCCCCCCTGCCTGCACCAGTCGGATCAAGGTAATATACCATTTGCTCTTTCTCTTTGAAAATAAGAATTGCATTGCTAGGCAACCAGGCTGGTTCCTGTGTAAGTTAGTGAGCAACTTTACTGCATCATCAGCTGTTTTTCACCAATGACTATAAAAGTACAAGATTTGGTGCGTCGATAGAGTGCAAACGATTGATCTGGGAAACACTAATTACTAAATAGTACAAAATAGTGCTAATTAAACAATAGAAGGCGATGGAATTTGCATGAAAATTGTGCTATTTAGTATTACTAAAGTTTCATGGTTATATTGTTTGCACTCTACTGTCAAGTCTTTAACCTAATACAACAGTCATAATCTATTGGTTTTTCAGCAAGAGGTTCCAAAGACCAGTTCTTCCATTCTCTAAGACAAGATTGACTCTGGTTAGTACTGTCGACATGCAGCTTTTATGAAATTCTAAACAACCTTGTTTCTGCCTTGAATCACCTAACTGATTTATCCTACGAAATGTGTTGCCATTATTATTTTATTTAATATGATAATATAATATGGTGTTATTTTAACATTTCTCCAGGCTAAGCAAATTGAGCACCATGAACAGAAGGTAAGGGATCGCGATTTTCTCTTAAATTTGAAATTCAATCTTTAATTTAAATTTATTAAATTTATAATTTTTTTATTTCATTTTTAATAAAATTCGTTTAAATAGACCTTATTTGTGGAGATGCAGTTTTCCCATTCCAGATCAGATGTCATTCCCTAGATTATTATTTCTTTGTTTAACAGTTGTGCAAGAGAATAAATATGAATATACGACCCAAAGAAAAGATACTTATTCTCGAGGGAATGACTCAGTCTGTATTGGGGAAACATTAGACCAACCTTGTGACCAGTGATTGGGTTTTTTACTTCGTCCATCGAGCATAAGGACTCCAAAAAAACAAAAAAAAAAAAACAAAAAAAATCTACAGGCATTTTTTAAAGTGCAAGTATTCAGTATTAAAAGTTTTTTATGCCAAAACATAACAGGTTTTCTTTTTCCTCAACAGGCCAAAGAATCACAAGATAGCTTAATAGCCTGTTTGCAAAACCAACCTAGAGAAGGAATGTCACGGTACCTTCAGGTCAGACATGACAGTTTTTCATGGTTGTAGCCGTTTTTGGTGTCTAATTCATTTGAAATTATTTTGTTGTAGGATTGGCAGGAAAAAAGGGATTTCTTGGAATATGAAGTGAGTAATCATTCAAACTGAAAATGCACTTTTTGCTTATAGAATTTAAGAGAATTTGTGGTGACTACATGATATGCCCTCCTCAGAAATTCCAATCCTCCTCAGACCCTCCCCACCCCTTGGAAATCCCTCTCTCTGTTCGAGGTACGGATATTAATTTTTCTGAAAATAATTTTCCACCTTTCGCTCCTCAGTATAAACGCTACATGAGTTATGTGACAGCGTTACGAGGATCCAAACTAGAGAGCAAGATCCGTGATAAACCAAAAGGTGAAGCCAGGTCAGCAGAATCAATAATGCTACAGATGAAACGAAGTAGTTCTGTAGGCAACCTAGACTCTAGTACAGGTTACAGGGCTAGGACAATTAGAGAGAGTTATTTTATGGCTATTTACCAAGAATAATCTTAAATTTATAAATCAATTATAAATTCAAAATAATTACATTAATTCGAGTAAGTTATATACAATATGGTTTGGTCCTGTAAATACTATTAATAATAATATTGTATGGAACGAACCTGATGGCATTGAAGAGTCTTATAAATATTGCGCTATAGTGATCAGTGATGGAGTGTCGGCCCACATCCTGGTCAGAGGTTATAGTCACTGGCGAAACACAAATTGGATTAAGAATGGTTTTATTTAGATTTAATATATACCAACACCTTCAGAGTTTATTTCAAGCAGTTATAAAGGAACTAAAGAATTTTAAAATCCAGAAAAAATAATTTATTTAAAATTTGTTGTATGGTAAAATGGTGTAAAAAATTTCACAACGGAGATCTGTTTTTGACCAAAATTGTAAAATTATCAATGAAAGAAAAGATACAAATGACACTGTACATATGACCTTAAACCTTTCAAATTGTAGAATCATGAACAACACACAATCTTTCTCAGAAATTTTTCAGTCCATTTAAGCACTTATCACATGTAGATATTTATCAAAGGCATACATACAGAGTACATTGAAAATACTAAACACAAGTAGATTTTGTATTTTTATCAGCAGTTTTGGAACTCTTCATCACCACCATACTCAGCTGGCTGCTAACACTATAAAAGTAGGCTTTCGCATGCAATAGACTTGATATAATAAAGCCCTCAACAGTTTTTATCTGTAGAACGTGTATAGAATTTGGCTGCACTGGTGGCTGCCTTCATATCAGAACTAAATAAAAGTAATTAGATGAAAGCTCGCATTATAACGTAAACATAACTCTGACACCTTGATTTAATACAAATAAATAAATGGCACACAGAAATGTATTTAGATCTAGATAGGAATGAGATAAAATGAATTATGATATAGTCAGGTATAAAAAAATAAAAAGGTAGTACACCTTTTGCTGTTCATTAACCGCAAAGGAATATTCATTCAAGCGAAAAAGCATTATCATTAGCGCGAAGAGGCACACAATAACGCGAACGGAGTTTCAAGAGCGCGATGGAACATTCATTAAGGAATTTAGCATAACATTGGACAATCATGAATATGTTTGTGCAGGTTCATTAGCGTTTTCGAAGTTTCATTAGCGCCTTTGTGCAATCAATAGACAAAACCACACTTTCAATAACGGTTTTTGGACATTCATTGGCGCAATACATTATTACTTTACTTTTTACACGGGAATTGTAGGATTTTAGCTAGAAGGCAAGGCATTCCACTCGGAGAGCTAAGAAAAAGATTG